TTTAAAGACTTACAATGCTAAAATCCGGGGTTCGATTCCCCTCGCGGTGGACCATAGTGTAACTTTTCACTAAGAAAACAACAGCAACACTTCAAGTGGATAACTTACGTTAGGACATTTGGAGCGGGGATATTTTTTCGATACAAATTTCTTACAAGATTTAAAAAAGACTAAGCTAAAAATTAAGAAATTTCAAATTCCAGTTAAAGCCTCTCTTTTGAGCTCGCTGAAAATGAGCCAAGTCGGCACAGCTGCTAAGTAAAAAATTGGACACATTAGTGAAAACAAATTCAAAAATTGACTGAAAGCATTCAAATAAGACAATCACTCGATGATTTGTACACACGTGTTTAACCTTCGAAGAAATAGTACACGGAAATGAGTATGATCTTACTTTTGTGTGTGAAGTTCACATGATGGTTTATGTAATAATACACGTTTAGCCTTTTGAACAAAATGTATGCCACACATGCGTAGAAAGAGTTTGACGAAATCCAGGTTGTCTTAGAGCAAAATAAAAGGAAATGCACGCTTAAAAGTTTCTTTATCAACCTATAAGATTTCACTTAAGCAAAAGATGTATGAAAATATGATGAATTTTACAAGCCATTCTTACGGTGTGTTTATAATGCTTTAGCTGTCAGAGCGTATTTAGTACTGTGTATGTGTGATGTTAATAACATTGATCATTATTTAAATAATAGTGGAGCGAGAAGATGTTTTCCATTGGAAGGGGGGGACAACAGTGGCGGGGTGTGAAAAGTTGGCAGACTCTTTAAACTTCAGCAATATACATACGTGTGTATTATCTGTGCCAAATATATGAAAATTATGCAATAATACTTTCTTAGCAGACTGACGACGACCGGCATGGCCTCCTTTATATAACTCCAAAGCCACCACAGGATGAACTTTTCTCTCTAGCCCTCCCTCTCAATGAAACGAACAAATATTATGGATTAAACAATGATACAGTCCATTATTGATATCCAACCCTGGCCTTATCGAATGTTAGGTATCAGTGTAGTATTTATTAAACTTAAAGTAAATCAACAGAAAGAAAATTATTGTCTACATTGTTGATTAACCAATAAGTCGGTGTTTCCAGCTTGTATTTCCAGTTTGAACCAGCTTCAACGTCATCACATAAATTGGTTCAAGTAAAAGGAAGGTGCAATTTGACAGAAAATACAAAACAATGTTACTGTTGTACCTTAAACTGGTTATACGTAATACCTCCAACCAAAATCAGTGAAGTGAGGTTGTGCATTTTCGACCTATAAAATATTCATTTATCAAAAAAAACCATCTGGATGTGATCATGAAATACTTGACTGATGTATTAGTCCGACTTACCTTCCATATAGGCTTGTATATGCCATTATGTCACTCCTGTTACATTGGTTTTTAGTAACAGTGATTTTTTTTTACCTGCCACATAGTGTAATGCTACAATATATCACTACAGTTTCCCTGCCACACGGACTTCCATATAATAGTAAGGTTTCTTTCCCAAATGGATTCATACATACTAGAGTAATTTTCTTTTTTAGAAGCTTGGCTTCGTTACAACAGGGATTTATAAAACTTCCATAGTTTTCATGCCACGTTTAGAGCATATCAATTTAGTTTCTATGTCTTGTGGGTTCATATATATTAGTCTGATTTTTCTGTCACACGGGTTGACATTATACGATCACTATGAGAAATTCATATACTCCTTCTAATAAATCCAACCCATTTGCAACTGTAAAATTCTGACTAGCATATATTATTAACTAGATGATTTTAATCTCCATGTGCGGTTATGAAAATAAACAACTCTACAGTTAAAACCGCTCAACTTCTAATGTTATAATTAATGTAAAAACGCCAATTTTGTGTGCTGCAACACCTGTTACAAAAAAGGTCTAGATATTTCACCCTATTAGACAGGCAAGGATTTCTATAAAACCCACGAAGAAAATTAACGTTCTTCACCTGGTGTTGTGAATATACACATAATATTCGCATCGTTGCCTTACAAGGTCTGCCATTGTTCTCCGGACTTTAAACCGGAAATAATATAACAAGTTTTATAATTACGAAAAAAAAACTGTTTAAGATACTCAATAAACAGAAGTTTTACGCATTTTATACACCAGAATTACATATTTTGAAAAATAAAATACAAAATATTTTATCAACTACCGAAAAATACAAACAAAGAATCACAGAATTCACTATGTTCATTTGTGATTTTTTGTTTATGTACAGAATAGCTATTTTTTTTCGTTAATATATATATATATATCTTATTTCGAGTTATTATAGGTGCGTGTTGAATTAGTGTCCTTATATTATTTTTCACTTCTTTAAGCTGAAACTATAGAGCTTTAATTCTCAAGTCTGTAAACTATACTACTTTTTTGACAGCAGTCTGCAAGAAATATTTTTAGAAAAAAAGTGCTGAGGTTGTTTGTTTGTTTTGCTATCAAGTAGAAAACTACACAATGGGATAGCTGTGTTCTGCCCATCAGAAGCATCAAAACCCGATTTTTAATGTTATAAGCCCTCAGACTCACCACTTAGCCATCTAGGGGCAAGGGCAAAGGTACCAACTAATATTCCACCTTGATAAAAGAGTTAGCACAAAGGATCACATATAAAGTGTAATAAACTCAAAATAAGACCCAAAACTCGAGCGCTTTCGCATAGTTGACTATTCTTCTTCAGGAGAACTAACATTTCAGTGGTTTGCTTTCTATAGGGCAAGAGGAATTCTCCCCCCTAACCTTAAACCCATTCTCAGAGTTTTGTTTAAATATGAAGGATTTATTTCTAGATGATAACGTTTAGTATGAAAAAAGTAGGTACCCTCGAAGACTGTTCCATGTTAAACATACTTGCAAAATAATCTTGGGGAATATTACCAGATAATGTTTGTAGATAAATTACGTTTTCGTCACTCGTATACCCGCGCCACATCAGTCAATAAATAAAATCCTGGCCCTGACCCCAGAAAATAATTCAGAAAAAAACCTTGATATTCCATCGGTTTTCTGTCATCTAAAGCGGAAATACATAGAATTGTTTTATGTATAGCCAACAACAAATAGTAGATTATTCAACATACACAAGTTCACTATCGGATCACAGAGGGCGCCACAGGTAATAGCAGCCCTTTCTATACGGGACGCTGTCGGAACTTCGTTGATGTTGCAGTTCACAAATCACAAATGTTTATCACACCTGTTCTTTGGTTGCAAAAATATAGATAAATGGTACATAACCGTTTAGCTGCAAAAAACATAAAAAAATCCTGACGTTGTGTATTCTAAATTTCAACTTCGTCCGACAAACAAAGCAAAGACGCCGGTAAGAATGAATTTTAAATATATGACAATTATCTATCTCTATTTTGTTCATTTATATGCCAATTTCAACGAACGAGAAAGATATTTCGTTATTATTGAGAGACTTGATTTCCATAAAACAGAAGAAACCATCACACTTATCTTAAAGAGATAAATAATTTGCGTGAGAATACAAATACACAAATTGTGTGTATGTGTATTATTAGCCATATCAACCATGCCAGTTTTGTTAAAGATAAGTTCAATCTTAATATTTCTTCCGTTAAAAAAATTATCTAGTTCAGGCGGATAATTCATTACATTCATATCCTAAAAGCAGCACTGTCTTAACAAGTACATGTAAACATTCTGGTCTTAGTTTGGATTGTTAGAGAGCTATTAAAATAATTTTCAACAATTTATGGTCGTTAGGTCCTGATAAAGATAAACCTAACGTCGATCCTGAGTCAATTTAACTTTTTTCCATTTAGATAAAAAACCTAACGCAACTACAACTATATAAGTGAACTGCCCCCTCCCTAAAAAATCACCCAACTAATAACTTCGCAATCTGTAGTACGCTTGAAGAAAATGTCAAAGGTAATGAATGACAAAACTCAAGGCTAGTTAGTCTGAAGGTTGATAAGTTGACCAAGGTAGAGATGGACCTGAAAAAAATTAATGATGATCTAGTAAAATAAAAGTTTGATTCATTTTTAGAAAGCTTAATCATGATTTAAATTAGTGGCTTTAGGGGGAATAAACACTTGGATACTACAGATGAACGTTGTTTATTACTGTTGTAATGAAATATTTACAACTGTTGCCACAGATCATCAATACTCTCATGTCGTGTAGTGCTGCCATCTATTGCAGAGACAAATAAGTAATGTTAAAACAGAATTTCAATTTCTTAATAAAGGTCCCAAATAGTTGTTCAGTCAATTTCTTCAAATTCCCTTGCTGTCTTTTTATGTAGCTAGCTAAAACTATACAATTCTACATTAATTCCAATTTTCGTAATATATAACCTTGATGGTGCAAAGATTACAGTCCTACGTCAGGATTTATGTAAATTCGAAGCAAGCTAACCTTCCAACCAGCAAAAATTATATTCTCATAAGTGTAAAAATGACCACTTCAGACAAACATTAACGGTCAAATCCAACATTATATACTCATTTTAAAGGTAAGCCACATAACTTTATTAATATTTTACCTAAAATTGTCTAATAGTGAAGAAATATAATAAACTGTTGTAAACTGATAACTAGAAACATCAACTTATTCAAGTTATTGCTATAGCAAATCTTGTCTTACAGCATTAGCTCTCAAGTTTAGATAGAAAATGAATTATTGACTGCTAGTGTTATATATATCATTTTGTGCTTCGAGGTAAGTCATAAATAAACTTTTAAAGTTTTTAATTCTTGAAGGTAAAAGTAATGGCATATCAAGAATAAACTTTGCTTTAAACTTGGTAATCTAGCAATTGCTTATAACAGGCGATAATCGGGAGTAATTATTTAGAAAGCTATAAACTGGAAAGAACATGTGAATACTTTACAAATTACTATTTAAAAAGTAATCTTATGAATGTTATAAGTTATATATTATTCTTAATTTTTGTTGTTAAACATGGACAAATAAACTGGAAAAAAATACCTTCTTATCCAGAGAGAAGGATTGGACGGACTGGACTTCTAAACCCATGCCATCAATGCCTGACTGTAGGTTGAGCGTCAAACAAGTGTCCGACGGTTGCGAGTACAGAATAAACACCTACTCTGGTACACGCGCTTATTTTCCTGAAATATAAATCGTCGCTAAACGTGCAGACCTAAGAACATGGCGCGCGCACCTCGTATGGTTCCTTTTCCTTTGCTGTTACAGTACCAATCTGACGCTGGACGATTGCCGCTTGTAAGCTGGCCCCAGCTAGCTACTAGAGGAAGGGATGAGGGGAATCAGAAAGAAGGGGGTAGATTCTCTATCGCGAATGACCTGAATATATTACGCCAACTCCTGACGTTGGTTGCGACCGATTCCCGCTTTCAAAACATTGCCTCAAACGAGCCAATCGCGTAATTTTTAATCTGTATTTGTGTGCGTGTACGCGTACAAGTATAGGCTGGCAGGTTGCCAAGCGGGGGCGCTGAGGTTTTCGTCATCATTATGGTTTGTTATAACTAATTCTACGTAGATGTTTAGTAAGTCCCTGTCTGGTTTGTATAAAAATATCTCTCTATATTCAAGTTAAACTATTTCAAATAAATCTTCGATAAAATCGCAGTGTGTTACGATTATTTTGATACTACTTATATATATTAACATGCATTGCTACTGAGAACGACATTTAGAAAGGTTTTTACTATCGGACATCTTGCTTTAAAAATCATGTGTTGATGGTGTTCCGGGGCAGAAAACATAATCCACATCCAACAGCAAAATAGATCACACAAGAGCCCTCAACCAGAAACTCGTCAAATCTTCGAAAAGCTGTCCAAATGTATTTCACCGACAGATACATTTCTCCGTTTAACCGCATTAACAATAACTCATAAGTAAATCACCTTCTAACTTTTTTATTATCAGTTTTTTATTTATTTCAGATTCCTCCACGCTAACATCACTGGCACTAGTCGGGAATTCAATTCGGACCCATTAGTGAAAGTGGGTTTTCTCGGGGCACTCCCGTCCCCCTCCCCTCATCAAAATTTTGGGGCTTTGGATTTATTGATAGGGCCCGCCCTGATCAGGTGCACTTTATTAGAATGTTTGTCGAAACACATTCATGGTCTAGCCCTTGCTTCTGCCTCTCTTCACCTCTTCCTGCAATTGCATCTACATTAATTACTATTATTTTCTCATAGTTGCCTTTAACTAAATATCGTGAGGGGGACTAAGGAGGGTTGTTTAACCCTCGATAACCTCGGATTTTCTCACCCAAAAATCGCCAGATAAGGGATAATAAAACTCACCCACTTGAAGAAAGAACGCGTAAGTGTCCTGAAACGTAGTCAAAACACAATATTCAAGACAAGGGATTCAATTGTAAAAACACTTCCTGATTTTGTCTTTTTGACAAACATGCCTCTCGAACAACAATTCTTTTAGGCTTAGTTTTCACAGTTTTATTTGCACCAAATAAAAATTCTACCACAAACTTCGTCCAAGATTTCTTTAATGGACAATTCTGTCTAGTAAGACTATTGTTGTAACTATTTCTACTGTTGGGCAGGTTTTTTATTTTTGGATTAATCGGTGAAAGGGATAATGCAAAATCCAATCAAATTAATGATAATGAACGCGTTTCATTTCTACTAATACAAGTGCCCTCAGTGGCACAGCAGTATGTCTGCGGACTTACAACGCTAGAATCCGAGTTTCGACACCCGTGGTGGGCAGAGCACAGATAGCCCATTGTGTAGCTTTGTGCTTAACTTTAAACAAACAAACTTATACAAGTTTTTCAGCACAATTCTTGTAGAACAACTTGAAGAAATAAATAACAAATAAAGAATACCTTAAAGTAGATCCCACTTACTAATTTTCTAATTTGTTAAAAACACAAACACAGAGTTTACAATGCTGAAGCAAATGATTGACTGACTTAATAATTAATGAATAATCTCAAAATTTACTTGCGTTTTCATAATTTCCTAAGATTCAAAGAAAACTCTAGACGTTTACCACGTGCTCATCATGTGACTTAATATTCCCTTTGCTAAAATAACAATACAAATGTCTAATTAAAAAAAAACAGCCTACAACACTGCCCTCCCTAGATTGTGAAGTCCCTTTGAACAATCCTATTACACAAAAAAGACAATGATACTTTAAATTATTTAATTAACAATAATGTAACTCCTAACAGTTATTAGTACTAATATATATAAATGTATACATTACAATCATTTATCAAATGTGTGGATAAACAACACATAATTTTCTTTCTTTACTTATTTACTGTACTTAAACTGGCCAATCACCACATTTTTATGGAGGTTTTCTTTTACGTGGTTTATGGTAAAAGGCGGTATGACCCTTTATTAAAACTTGTTTTTTTGTTTGTGTTTTACCTTTGAGGAAAAGGTAAATAGTCAAGGGAATACATTGGCGGCTCCAGCCTCTGGTAATTATCTGGAAATAATCTAAACAGGAACCTTGGGTTTTTTATAAGTTTGAAATACCTCTGGTGAAGTCTTCTTTGAAGCTAAGAACTTGGCCATTCTCCTACTGACGTGCTTTCAACGTAGCTACTATATTCAATGATTTATTGAAGTAGTGATGTAGCCTATGAAAGTTCTTCAGTCAAAAGTTGCACAACAGTAGTAGTAGTAACAGATGTAGACCACATGGTTTCACCTATTCCTTATGGCATAGGTTTGGGTTGGAATTTTCGATTGTTTGATGCAGAGAGAAGTGTGGTTGGTTTGATCCTAGCATTTTCCATTTCACGTTGAAGATGTTTTATCCTGGTGTTCATGTACTTCTGTTACATTTCCTGAGAAGTTTTTGTCGATTTAAGTGTTATAACTCTTCCATACTTCATTGATGTGCTTTGGTGCTTCATCAGTTTTATTATAATTCTCCTGTACTTCATTGATATCCTTTTGAACTTCCTTTTTTTCACTTCACTAATGTCCCTTTATATATTTCATATGTCTTCTTAGATCTCGTCCTCGGTTAAATTGGCTTTGTTGACAAATCTTCTCTAACTTTTACGTCTCATCTTTGTTATTCCTCTCAGCTTCCAGTGTCTTTCTTCCAATTTTTTTGTCTTTTTCTTCTTGGTCATTTTATCATTTCCAGAAATTTTTCGATTTTGGTTGTTCATGTGACGCCCATTTTGAAGTTTAGTCCTAATCCTGTTTTATTTTTACCAAAATGGCCAGTCTCACTTTTGACATCGGTATAGTAACGGTTTCTATTATTGGTCATTTTCATTTATTGGGCAAGTTCTTTTTAGGTTATTAGGTAAAAGAAAAAAAAAACATAATTTTATTTCCCAATTAAAAATTTTGCAAGGATGATTTGTAAAAGTTACATGTAATTGACGATAGGTCTAACTTCTCACATAAATAACTACGCACTTATTGATAAATTTCTCGTGTGTACGGTACTTTTCGTAGCACTAGTACTTTTTTGGAGATACGAACTCAAAATTTAGAGCGCTGAACTATTAAGCTCGCTGACTCAATAATCAATTAACAATATATCAAATACCTAACTCTCATCTAACTTGCGTTTTTGTTCTTTTAAATCATTTCCTAAACCCTCAATGAAATTTCATAAGTTAAAGTCACACGCTCATCACGTGACATCAACACTACATCTGGCAAACCCACAATACAAACATCAAAGTTAAAAAATCATAGCGTATAACGATATCATGTTTATTAAATGAAAAAATTTACTTTATTATTTTTTAAAACAATGCTTTACCCTCAACATCATTGTATTTTTGTTTAAAACAAGATTGACCAATCGAGTTTTACGTTTACTTTAGCAAGTTGAGATTGAGAAATGTAGGTAGCTCTTTATGTATCATTCTTCTTTGAATATAAGATTGGATTATTTAAGTTTTACAGTTGAGAGATGCTAGAAAAACTACACTTTTTATGATATTACAATTAATGGAACAAGTAACTTAATTTTTCAGTTTCAAATTGACGACAGTAGTTTGGCAACTAACATCAGCTAAGAATATTTTTCCACAATTCTTCTTGAGCTTACTAACTCAATAGGCTATACAAGTGACTGAAGATAGTAACGTTTTATTTAATTTTTGTTTTGGGGGGTTAAAATTACTTTCTTTATTGAGGTTAGAAATTGACCCACGTATATATATATATATATATGTTACCTATCCTTTTCACTCTTTCTTTCGAATTCCAAAACTATCATTATACTGTTTTTTAAGCAATCTTGACTGTTTTACTTTTTTCCTTATTATTCATTTCAGTAAATGAAATTGAATTTGCGTGTATCGTTTTGAATATTTAAAACCTAAAATAAGTATTCTAAATTGAAGAAATAGTGGTTCGTAACACAAATTAATCTTGTTATAGCTAGTCAGTTTTAAATTGTATATAATTTCTAACTGATTATTCATTATTTTTAGTTCACTATCTTTTCTTACCAATTGTCTATTTAGTTGATGATAGTCTGATTCGAACGAATCGACGATGTTTATTTGTAGAAAAGCACAAAGCTACACAATGGGCTATTTGTGCTCTGCCCACCACGGTGATTGAAACACGGTTTCTATCGTTGTAAATCCACATTTTATAATTCTTTCTCAGGTAAATATACAAATGAAATACCAATAAATATAATAAAACTGTTCTTAATTTTTTAGGACAACTGAAAGGTTGCGTTATGAATATTAGAAAACATCTTTAGATTTTGAATTATTTGAAAGGTGTCAAAGAGAAGTAAACTGTACCGAAAGTTTATCAATTAAAAAATAAGCTTTCAAACATTCGAAGCAATACAAGTTCAATTACTTAAATAAAGAAAAAAATTAAGAGTCAAGATTACTTAATGATAGTTTTGGGAGTTTGATAGAAAATGTGAAAATAATAGATAGTACATATTTAACAAATTAGACAACAAAAAATAATAAAACGTTAGAAACAATAAAGAAGAAAGAAAGTGATAGAAAGTGGTAACTTTTTTGTTGAAGCTAAAATTTATTTGAATACATTTTACAGATGATGAAAGTTGGTATCTTTTTTTTTATCTTAAAACTGGCCTTAGGAGATTTGTTAAACAATTGATGATTGTAACTTTATTTTTATCTTAAAACTGGCCTTAGGAGATTTGTTAAACAATTGATGATTGTAACTTTTTTTTATCTATCGCATGTTTGTAACTTGTACATATATTTAAAATATTCATCTATCTTTTTTTGTGGTGAAAATTATTCTTCGTAAATTTTCGAGGTGATGCGAATGTTTTATATGTCTTGAAACTATTATTGAGTTTGTCGCGTAATCATTTTGCAACCCATTGAAGCCAGTGGTTAACG